CAAATATTAATATATATAGGATGAATGTATGTAATGTAGGGCACTCATTGTCATCAAAAGAATAATTCAAATGAGCGCTTCACGTATTTTGTTTGCCCTTCTGTCAAAAAGGCTGTGTTGTGTTGGGAAAGGTGATCCTCAGTACTAGGATACGGTAATGAGTAATGCCCCCCTCTCCTAAGTCCATTTTCACCATAATTAGCTCAACAACTCCATTTTGCCATGTAGTATTCGTTATTAGTGATAATGTAGGAAAGAACCCCTCACTAAACGTATCTGAAATCTCGGCTCAATCCGAACGCGTGGCGCATCACAGCATGACTGATTAGTGTTGAAAAGTTCCCACTTGTGCAGCATCATTGTTGCTAAAGAACGAACTTGATAGAATTTGTTCTTGTTCTCTCGCTCTCGGTTCTGCCTTGCTCTGAATCTTTTTCCCTTTTTCGCGTCCGTTGGGGGCAATCAAAACAGCATGCATTTTCTTCGTTGGTGGTCTTTGCAGGCAGCGGCCCCTATCTTTTTCCAGTGGTTTTTTTCTTCATCTGCTCGTCTACTGCTTCACCATAGCCGCAGTGTTCCCGCGTTTGCTCATCTGATTCTCCATCGAAAACGTGCTCTCTCAGTCGACCCTTCGTCTCCGTTAACGATATGTTCCGTCGCTTCACTCTGATACATAAACCAGAAACGAAAGCGACATGTTGTGTGAATGTCGTTCATCAGAATTGCAGCATAGGAATTGGTTTTTGGTGCCGAGTTAAAAGGGGTAGAGGGAAATCCGAATGAGGAAGTGGATCATGCGGGCCAGTCGGTCCAACTTGGCGCCAGCGACCACTTGCACTTTGCAAGACCTCCACCCTCACTTGCACTTTAGCAGCTGTCCTCGACAAACAAAGAGATTGTGAAAAAAAGTTTTCAGAAAACCCTGTGAACTCTTGCAGCTATGTCTCTGGGGTGGCCCATAGCACGCCATCGAAAGCGCCAATATTGCTTCGCCAACCCGATCTCTGAACCGTGCAAAAGTGCAACACTCGAGTGTGATCGTCTCAGACACTTCTGAAGAAGGTGTCTGGCCTCAACGACGAGGGCGGGCGATGGCAACATTGTTGCGACGATGCACTTTGTTGCGATTCGTCTACAACGGCGCTCAGTGTCGTACGCCCGACGATCGCCTGCACCTTTTTTCGTCGTGTGTGGTCGGAACAGAGGCGGAGCTTCGACGGGGCGAAAACGCGCGCTAGCAGTGTTCCATGTTGCGAGCTCCTCGCCATGCACGACAACGAAGGTAAGACCTGTCCATTCTGACATAGTCAGGCTGAGTGGGGCTTATGAAGTGGACCATCTCCAAACATCCTTCCGCTTCAGGAAAATTCTCCAGCTCCAGGGATCACCTTTGCAGACCGCAGAGCAAAGGAGTCTCTAGAGTGTGGATTACCTTTAATAAGTTTTAGAAGGCGTCTAACTGAAAAGGTTCTTGGCCTGAATCACCCCCTTAGACTTGCCCGCATACCTAAAGCCTTTTCCAGATAAAGCAGACCTAAAACTCTCTTCGGCTATCGACTTGCTTCCCTTTTCCTAGGACAAATGGAACAAAGCGCAACTTCGCTCAGCAATTTCCAGCAAAACAAATTGAGTTAGCTGTTGATGACACCTCCCGTTAAGGCGCAGTGTGCAGCCTTGAACTAGTGACGTTGCCCTAGAAAGACGAAAAACACTGGTGGCAGTTCAACGAGTTTAACAAACAGCTGATTTCAACACGCTCTCCGAGTGTGTATGTGTCCGTTTGTGTGTGTGTGTGTCTGTGCGTTGCGATGACGCGGGGCAGCCAAGACCTCCCACGACGAAAACTTGCCGCCATCACCTCGGGTACAGTGGTGAACGTTTCACCCTTCTATTTCTGATCGTTCTACCGTTTCTCCACCGGCCTTTCTTTTACCAGAAATTCTCAACAGATGTAGGGAATTGTTAATATATAGTGGGTTTCTCGGGAAACGCTTATTGGGACGCTTTTCGATTACATACTGAAAATTTCAACCTATAAATACCTTTTACCTTTACTACTTTGCCTTAATCAATTTCAAATCGTTAACTAAACAAACTTTATCACGGTAATCTTTAGTTTTCCATAGCAGTCATTTGGTTTCTTTGGTCTTCGCATTATCTTTTTTCCTGCCGAAAATGCGTATTTAGCAACTTTCACGTCCCAACATAGCGATTTCCAGTGTTTCACTGCTCTCTCTATCGAGGGAACTTTTGGCTTACCAAAAGAGGCGCTCAGGGCATTTTGCCATTTTTGGACCTTAAATTTAAGGAAATTTTCCCTCCTTCTTTGTCTACCAACCGAGCCTTTCACTGTTTGCTCCCGCCGAATTTTCGCGATGATTTTATTATTTTATGCAGCCTGCTGTCCGACTTGCCATAATGCTTTTTCGTAGTCTCACTCTTAAATTTTGAATTTTCTCGTTGTGTAAAACGTGAAGAGTATTAAATGTGAGAGGCCTCATCAGCGCTTTAGCTTTCCTTGACAAAGCTCCAAAATTTGACCTTGTTCCGTTAAAATTTATCGAGTTAGGATCTAAAATTTAGTTCTATAAGCTAAAGCGCAATGAGGGAGTTCATTATTTCTGTCAGCTAAGCTTTTTTTGCTTGTTCAGAATTCTTTAAAAAAAAGGACGGGTAAAAACAGGATGACAATTCCCAACCCAAGGAACAATTGCCGAGATGAATTTTCTGTAAGTGTATTGCTCCATTCTCTGGGCGATAGGATTCATTTTGGGCTAAATGCGTAAATTGGTTTCCATGGCTTTCACGGACTGATTCAGCCAAAGCTCATCTAGCGATTCCTACCCTGAAATCTAACGTGAGATCCTAACCGATTCACAATAGCCTATCTTATATTTACACTATTTACTCAAAAAAATCGGGGTGGTTCCTATTCAACGACATTTTTGAAGATGTGGAGATTGACGTCGTCGCTGTCTCACCGGCTCCATCACAAAGCTCCTACAACAGCACTCAAAATGAAAAGAAGTACTTCTGTCAACGTTGTCTGAATCATGACCTCCAGTTTCCCAAGGAAAGGACACAAACCCGTGTGCAAGTGGGTTTCAAACCCGGTACCTCCAAAATTTGATATTCAGTCAGTACTTACAGGTATGCCAGTTGCACGTGTAGTGACTGCATTATGGTCGAGCAACGGCGTCAACTGAACAATATGCTGAGCAAGTCTAAAGTGAGCCCAACGGGACGCTTGAGCTGACGGTCTCTTTAAGTGCTCATTTTCAGATGGCCGAGTCGCCCAGGGAGACGGTAAATGGGCGTCGAATTCGTGACCCGCAGTGTGCTCGATGTCGTCAGCACGGAATTCGCGTTCCGCTCAGAGGACACAAAAGGGTCCTTTGCCAGTTTGCAAACTGTAAATGCGAAATGGTAAGTTGTCCTTATGATTGAATGGATTCTGTGACAGTTGTCCATGGCAGCTGCTCAATCCAATCCCCCTTTGGACGCGTTTCTATGTCGAGTCTCTTTGCCTATTCGGCTGCTGCATCTGCTCACTATATAGTCGCGAGCCAGAGCATTGCCTCGTCATCTTAGAATTCGATCAATATTGTTCCCAGTCGGTTTCTTCTTTTGCCTCTTTGTCGCTTCAACCCCTCATAGGACAGCGGACGACGGCGTGGCTACGGTATCGTCGTAGCGGCATTTTCAGCGCCAATAAAACGTGGCGCCAAGGTTGCCACGCAAACCTTACGAAATACGGTATGTATCGGTTTTACTTCCGATCACACCCGTCATCGGCAATTCGCTCACTTTAATAACACCCTTCTAGTTGCGAAAGACGTCAGAAGTCTGTAAGAGCCGATTTTGTTGAAATTCTCAATTCTTCCTAATTCTTCTAGAAATTCGGGCTATCGGCTGTCTTCTGCTATACTTTAGTCTTAGCTAATGACTTTTGGGAGAAACTTCCAGTTTTCATCGCTTAGGGCCTTTGAATGAACTATGCGAGAGTTAGTCGTGAGCTCAAGAACTCAAAGCCCCCCTCCTCCCCGTAGTTCCCCTGTTTTCACAGTTTCAATTTGCACCTATTTTGCTCTTATTTTCGTTTCCTCGATACTGTTCTCTATAATGAAACTAAAGGACCGATGTGGTGTGTACGAAATGATGGGTGAATCCTGAAAAAATCTTACGTGGGCCATTTTATGGCGGTCGCGGAGCCTGCCTTGCCGTAATCGACCTCACCAATAGCCCTAGTATATTTTCCACCAAGAACTAGAAACTAAGCTAGCATACGCGCAGCTACGGCTTATGCCATTGCGTGAACACTCTGGCACAAATTCGCCCGTCTTTGTCCTCTTATGAGTCCAGGGTTCGGGAACATCGGGTGGGGGGGGTGTATTTG